AGTCAAGGGAGTAAGCCACACAGATATCTGGGGAAGAAAGTAATTCAGAGAGAGGGAAAGAGTCAGTTCTGTCCACAGGTAATGATGTGAAGTTCCCCTCCCCATGCCTTGGCCACAATAAGTGGTCAGTAACCATTGAGTGTTCACCTCTTTCCCTCCTCTTACAGAGATGCCAGGATCCAGGTGACCACTTAATGCACCTTCTAGCTTCAGTGACAATGACATCCTGGCTTCAAGTTTTACAAAGCCCTGCATTCACATCCACCATCCACCTGCAGGAGCGCCCTCCCTAACTGGCCACAGGAGCCGTAGTTGGGAAGAAGGCATTGCTGCTGGGTGTCAGAGCTCTCAGCTCAAACAGGAAGCTGGACACAGTGAGGCGGGCCTCGTGCCAGCTGCACGATCCTCAAGAGACTCCTACCTTAGCGCACACCAAAGCTAGGACTGTGCCTACAGTGGCTTGAGCAAAAAGACAGTCACGGGGTGGGGGTAAGAGAGAAGGAAAGGGACCTATATTTACTAAGACAGGGTTTAAATATTACTCTGCCACTTACTAGCTCTTTTTCTTTTACAAATCACAGAACCCTTTTGAGCCTCAATTTCCCCATCTGTAAAATGGTATGAAAATATCAATTCTGTACAGTGACTGAGAGGACTCACGGGATAAGATTTGTGAATGTGGCAAGCAAATACCTGGGGCTTAACAAAAAGTAGTCCCCTCTCCTTTGTACCAACTATCTGGGAGGCAGCCACTATCGTATTCAGTCAGCTCGGGTCCTTATTTATTTCTTCATTTCTCTGTGCATGGAATCACCTACCTTTCATGGAGGATGTGAGACAGCAAATGAAAACTGTGCTTGGCACAGTTACTGACCAAAATATGTACTCCATTGGTGTTCATTGGATGCCTGAATGGACAGATGCACTTACGCACAGATGGATGCATGGGTGGACGGACTGAGGGGTGAATGGCTGGGTATGTGGGGGCATGGCTCGCTGGCAGAATGTCAGGGGAAGCATAATCAGTATTACAAAAATACAAGTCTGCACAAAGAAAAACCCAGTTATATTTTATAAGAGGATTTTATTATAGCTATTTTTAGCCACAGGTCTCAAGCACAGGTATAACATAGATGAGTAAAAAGCAGCATAAACATGCCCAATTCTAGTCAGCTGTGGCCTACTGTAGGGGAAGTCAGAGACGCAATATGGCCCCAGCAGTGAGGGCATCTGGGAAATGCTGGATTCTCCGTGTAACCTTCTGTGACTGTTTAATTCTCCATAGCCTCAGTCTTGACTGACTACTCTGGAATGCTGCGCAAAGATAAATGTCATGCCCCCAGGAAGGAGGTTAATGAATGTACGGAGTGTGGATGACTACCTGATGTGATCTGTTAACTTAGAAATGCACTGCTCTTTCTGGTGGTCTGCGTGACCACCCACCATATGGTTTTACTATTAACCCCCTTATAAAAAAGACACCCTGTCCTGGGAGGGTATGGATTTTTTCTCCAACTCGCCACCACCCGGAGCAGGCATTAATTCCTGTTAAAGCTCTTACGAATTTGAATATGGCTACGTGTCAGTTCTTGGGAATCATTCCTGAACTTAGACTTTTGGGGCTTTCCCCCAGCATCCACACTTACTACTTTCATGCCTATCGCTCACTCATCGGGGTGGGGCAGGTCTTACCTATGCCAACATTCTCCAACTGAGATCACGGATGAAACAGCCTGAGGCGAAAGCTGAGATGAGAAGGAATTACAGGGTAAGGTCTTCTGGACATGCAAGATGACTTGGAAATCCTGACTGGTAATTTTGTTTCTTCAAAATAATTACAAATCAGCTTTTCCTGTCATCCCTGTCATCGTTGCAAGAAGGGAGACCCAGAGCTTAGCAATCAATTCCGTGTTCGCTGCAGTTCCACACTGTGTAATTTCAACAATCACTTGGCCCCTCTGAGTCCCATGCTCCCCTTAGTAATATAAACGGATTGGACCCATCCAGCTCCAAAGTGTTCTGATCCTCTGGAAAATCCCTGACATCTTCCCTTAAATATGGACATAGAACTTTGAAAGGATATATATTATTAAATTCCTTTTCTAGCTGTCCCTGAAGAGTCTCTTAAACCCTTTCAAAATAATTGCATGTAAATGTCAACACGTCTGTTGATGCTACACCCTAGGAAAGCAGTGAACTTTGGAGACAGACTGATCTCAATTCCAGGCCTTCTGTGAGAAACTGTCCATACATTGATAAGATTCCGTTCCTGCCCCAGGAAAGGGAAGACAGATGTTGAAATGTATCAATTTCAATGAACACAGTAATTAAGGTATAAAAAAGGTAGACCCTTCCAGCCCTAATATGCAACTAGGAGAAAGGCCATGACCCTGGAGGCCTTCGGGAAGGTTGTCTAGGAGTAGTCTGGGCAAAAAGGTGAGAGAACATCTGAGGAAGTCACAGCCAAGCAGAGATCACCAGGGCAGTAAACATGGCTATATTCGGAGTGGTAAGGCGATCAGCAAGCAGGGCTGTAGCATGGGTACAAACCAAAATACCCCTCCACGAGCCCTGGGTATGAGCGACACCCTGCCCTGTGTGTGGAGGCAGCATTCTGGAAGAGGCAAGGGAGTCAGACTGCCAGACTTAGTCTTAATGGAGCACTCCCTGAATGCAGACCCGTGAAGTTTATACATGTCACAGCAGTGTTTCCTGAAGTGCGCTATGCAAGTCCCTGGGGACATATGAGGTCATTTCAGACAAGACCCCAAGAGCATTTTAATTTTAATAATTACACTTTAAATTTACCTTCTATGTGTGGCAGATGTCACTCATTTTTGTTTACAATTTAGTTATAAAACATTCTTTTTAACAATTAAAGTTTTTAAAAGCGACCCAATAGAAAGAAAAATATTTATTAAGCATACATACAGCCGGTACATAGATATAGCAAAATTGGCGAGAGGGGTTCACCAATCACGGAAATCCAGGAAACACTGTGCTTTAGCGTCTCAGCGAGTATCCCACCCCGAGCACTTTTGGTTCCAAGTAACAGATAACTCAAATCAGCTTAAAAAAATAAGAGAAGATACCCTAACCAAGAACTCTCACAGGCCCCGAAGGAAAAAGTGCAGTTGTTCCTCAGAAGGGCTTGGTGGGAGGAGGAGAGCCGCCGACCCCTGGTGGCACGGCCCCCCCACCCCCCAGACCCCTGGGGTCTCCCTCTGGTCTCTGCTTTGCTCTGTGCATCTCCGTCTTCTCTCTGAGAAGAGCCATTTTCTCTAGTACACGCATGTAGGTGACTACCCTCCGCCACCCTCCCAAGCCCAGCATAGAAACATGGACAGACACACACATGTAGACATACACACTTACAGCTCCAGTTTATTTCTCTTCAGGTGAGTGACTTGCAGAGCCTGAAGTAGCATCCCTGAATCTTGGGGCTTATTCCTGAAAGAACTTGACTGGCTCACCTTGCATCCATTCAACCTCTATAGGAGGATTGAGGGGAATAAATTCGCAGAGAAAGGGAGAATCTGAGATGAGCAGGCACCCTGACCAAGAGGTATCTGCCTCAGCAACCTAACTCACTACTCACAAAAACCCTATGAGGTAGGAAATTCAGCTCGCAGTCCTTCAGCAGGAAGTGACAAAGGCCAGACTTGAGCCTGGGTCTGTGTGACAGCAAAGCTCTGGTAAGCTGCACTGTCTACCTGGTCACCATCAGGTAGGTCCAGCCCACAGGTACCATTGTGAACCCAAGCAGGTTACTGGCCCACTGGGAGGTAGTTATCAAAATCATCAATCCAGCGCTTGCCCAGCAGACAGAAAACAAGGAACCCAACTTTATGGGGACACGACCAGGAAGGGAAGAAGATTTCTTAGGAGGCCCACAAAGCCTTGGAAACCAGAGAAGACTCCTCCAAGCCCTGGATCTGAGGCTGCCAGCTTCACGCTGTGGGCACTCAGCTCGGGTGCCACAGGAGGTTCCTTCGGGTGCACATGCTGAAAACCACAAGCAGGCATCTAGACATCCTCAAGAAGCTGACACTGCCCTTCTGCACCCAGAACTCAAAGTGCCTGCTGGCCCTTGGGGCCATAACAGCTTCTCCCATCTCCTAGAAGCTAAATCAGGAGGGTCCCCTAGAAAGCAAGGCGGGGAGACCTGACAGGCCCCTTCCACTCCAGGGCCTGCCCTACATGCAGGCCCTTCCCGGCCTGAGCCCCTGTTCCCGTGGAGGCATGTGGGCAGCTCAGCACCTGGACGGCCGGAGTTCCACCTTGAGAGGCCTTTGCCCACATATAGTGGGTGGCTGCCCAACAGGAGGTACTTCATCAAAGTCCATTATGGAGACAGACGGATGTACGCGGTGCTCATGTCTCTCCCATGCCCCCAGAGCTGACCCAGGTCTGACGTGAGGCCTGTGCAGGGAGACACACCTGCCTCAGGAAATGAGCTCCCCATCCTAGAGTTTGGTCTCTGCACACTTTTTCTTCTCTGGTCACCATTCAGGACACAAAGACCTTGCGCCTGTGGGTAGAGGCAGAGTGGCAGCATCTTATCTCAAAATTCTGTCCTAAAGATACTGCCACATTGCCAGGGGATTGTCCCTTTCCCAAAACCCCTTTCTCTGCCTTTCCATGGACAAAGAGAGTAGTTGCCCATACTTGCTTGGGCTGCTGTCCTGGTGGGTGAACTGGGTGGCTCATCCCCCAAGGTCTGCGCAGGCTCTGACTTTCCTTCCAGAGCCATCGGATTCAGGCACTCAGGAGGAGGTCACCAGCCAAGTTACTATGGCAGGTGTCCAAAGGTGGATCAAGGGACTCATTCCAGTTCAGGATTTTCAGCAGCCTGACTCTCCCATCCCCACCTTGGGGAGGTGGCCTCCATATCTAATGGGCCACCCAGTACCCAGGAGGAGGTGCCCAGACCACAGCAAATATCTCTTTTTCCCCCACATCAGTCATGGTGTCCATGAAGGAGAAGCCTCTGGGCCTGGTTAATTTTTGAGGGAATTGGCAGGGATGGGGCTGAGCTGCAGGGCTACCTCAGTGCCCGTCTCCATGGTGGCCAGGGGGCATTTCCGGCTGCTGCGCATGCTGTGGAATCGCTCGGTAAAGTGCTTGCGGAACTTCTTGGTGAGGAAACAGTAGATGATGGGGTCTAAGACACAGTTGGTGCTGAGGAGGCAGAGGGTGACCTGATGTGCATCATTAATAGCCTGGTGGAAGGTGTTGTTCTGAAAGCCCAGCTCAGCGAGGGTCCAGGGCAGCTGCACCATATGATGAGGCACAAAGCATATGAAGAACACAGCCAGGACCGTGCAGACCATCCACAGCGCTCGGTGCTTGACTTCCACATTGCGCTGCATCGGCATGGGTTGCATGAGCAGTGTGCGGATGATGACCAGGTTGCAGAAGAGGATGAGGAGGAAGACAAGGAGAAAGCCAAACACGAGGAAGACATGAATGATGAGGACTGGGATGCTGCCCTTCTCATAATGTTCAAAGCAGCGGGTGACGTTGCCTGTGCGGGTCTTGTTGGGCACTACGTTGGTGGAGTCCAGGACGAAGAAGTAGGCTGCAGCGGCCACAATGGACACCCAGATGACCAAGGACACACAGATGCCACGCTTGCGGGTGGTGGTCTGAGCGGTCTTGATGGGCTGCGTCACCGCCTGGTAGCGATTGTAAGTGATGACGGCCAGGAAAGCCACTGAGCAGTAGGTGTTAATGAAGAAGAAGCAGCCAGCCAGATTGCACAGGTAGTTAGGGAGAATCCAGTCACCCTGGTGGTAGTAGTAGATGATCCACAGGGGCAGGGTGACCAAAAAGAGCAGGTCAGCCATGGTGAGGTTCACCATGAAGATCTTTATCTCATTGAGTTTCTTGGAAGGGTACAAGCGGACGAAGACCCACAGTACATAGCTATTGGCGATGACCCCCAGCACAAAGATGATACTGTAAAAAATCGGGAAGAGGGTGTATCGGAACTCAGAGTCCACACGAGAGGAATAATTTGTCTCCATCACTCTGGACTGGAAAAGGTCACTGTCCTGCCTGTGCCTGGAAGACCACACAGGAATTCTGGTTAATGAAGGGCCAACAAGGGGCTATCTTATTTCATCAGTTCCAAGAACCCCATCCTACATGTTTTTAAAACTCTAAAATAAATGACCTAATTAATTTTCTTTATTCCATGAAATGTTTTTTTTCCTAATGAATTACATCAGAGATTTAATGAAATCAATGGCAGGTCAGTTTCAGCAGTGGAAACATTCGAAGAAGCCTATAGATACTTAAATAGGTGAGTTTAAAGAAACAGCTGATTCTAATTGGAATTTTTTTGATTGAGGAAATTTTTGTGCTTTGCTCCATTTACTGTGGTGGTGGTTTGTCTATGTTAAATTAAATAAATGTAGCTTCCATTATTCCAATAAATCATTGTGATTTCTTCAGAAACAAAAAATCACCCTCAAGTCACTTTGTGAATTACATAGTTGATTTGAATTACATAGTTTTATGCGATGGCACCTTTTACACCGCTAAAAGGAGCTCTGCCTTCTGATCCCAAAGCTCTAGGATGAGAGTTCTTAAAACGGGTCCACAGAACTGAGGGGGGAGGAAACTCTGAGATCTTTCAGGGGATCCATGAAGTCAAAACTATTGTCATAAAAATACATTATTTGCCTATTTCACTGTGCTGACATTTGTGTTGATGTTGCAAAACTGTGAGCTCCTTAGCATAAATCAAGGCAGCAGCACCTAACTGTAGTAGAGTCAGATTCTTCATAGCCATGCACTCCGTGTTTAAAAAAAAAAAAAAAAAAAGCCAATTTCACCTTAAATCACATTAAAATGTCCTTGGTAAAGCAAGGAAATTATTAATTTTATTAAATCTTGAGTACATATCTTTTAAAAATTCTATTATTTTTAAATTAAATTTATTGGGATGTCATTGGTTAAAATTTATACAGATTTCAGGTACATAATCCTACAATAATACATCATCTGTATATTGCATTATGTGTTCACTGCCCCAAGTCCAGTCTTCTTGCGTCAGCATTTATCATTTATCCCCCTCTTGCTGTCTTGCTGTTCTTCTACCTCCCCCCCAACCCCCCCCAACCCCCTGCCCCCCCCCCGCCCCCCGCAATCACCATACTGTTGTCTGTGTCAGCAGGTCTCTTTTTTTTCTTTGCTTAATCCCTTCCCCCTCCTCACACAGCCCCCATCCTCCTCCCCTCTTTTTTAATATTCTGCATCAAAATGGGAAACCCACAGGAAACACTTCTGCGAACTGAGATAAATTGGTTGTCTTCAGGGAAAGCACTTATGTGATTGTTTGAGCTGTGGGATGAACTTTTTTGCAGATCGCCATTATCATTTGAAAAAATGGCCAACTGTGTTTTTTTTCAGACTTGAGTATCTGGCAGACATTTTCTCAGATATGAAGGAGTAAACCTGTTACTTTTAGGGAAACAAACAGTATTTATTGCCAATGATAAAATTCAAACTTTCAAGGGAAATTAGAAATTTTGGAAAAATTGTATGTGCCAGCAGCAGCTTTCCAATACTTAAAGAATTTTGTGATGTGATTGGTGCTGATATTAATAAATGCAATTGTTTGATATCTTATAATGAGAGGTCAATATTTGAAAGAGCTGCATAAATCAGTGAACCAGTATTTTCCCAATGAGAAAGACATAATATTTCAGAATTCTGTATAGGCAAAAAATTCAAAGGGTCAGATACACCAATACATCACAGGGTAACAAATTACACAAAGTTTGATGATGTGATCCATGTTCCACATTGCAACTAACCTTTAAGAAACTACCATTTGTGAAGCTTTGTTATAGTATTGAAGAAGAGTATCACCAATTATCTGAAAAAGACATTAAAATATCCCTCCCTTTAAAAATGCCTGTCTGTGTGAGGCCAAATTTTCTTCATATATTTCAGCCAAAATGACATATCACCACAGCTTGAATACAGAAGCAGATAGGAGAATCCAGCTGTATTCTATCAAACTCAACAATGAAATCATCTGCAAAAAATGTAAATAAATGCCACTCTTCTCCTTAAAATGTTTGTTTTGAAAATTTGAGTTATTTTCACTAAAAATGTTATTTATGTTAATATGGAATGAGTTTATTATTAGTTTTTATATTTAAAATTGTTTAGAATGTCTTAATATTGAATTTGGTAAATACTATACATATAACCCATGTAAACAAAAGCTCGCTGGGCCCCTCCAACATTTTTAAGGATATAAAGAGACCCTGAGACCAGAAGATTTGAAAATTACTGCTCCACAACCTCAGGTCCTCCTCTTTCTCTCGAGCCCAAGACGCCCATTCATTTGAGACTAGCTTTGTCTCTCCTGCTGGACCCCATGCTTTGAAGGACCCTGTTCCTGGGGTCTGAGGGGGGCGAGGAGTCAGCCCATAGTTTTATGGGTTTTGGAGGAAGTCACATCCTGACTATCCCCCACACCACACCCACCTCCTCCAGCAAGTCAGTACCTTCCTCTCCTTGGATTTAGGCTCCAGCTCAATGGGTTGGGGCACCACACCCACCTCCTCCAGAAACTGTCCCTCTCCGGCCAGAAGCCTCAATGCACAACATCCTTCTGGGCCCAGCCCCCTGTGCCAAACCTGCCCAGGCTTGTTGCAAAAGTCCTCCCGAGGACCAGGACTAGGGAGGGTAAGGCTTGTGAGGCGCTCACTTAGGTACTAAATGTAAGGGGGCACCAAACACTTCAGTAATCAAAATAATAAAATTTTGATACAACATTTTAAAAAATCAAAATCAGTATGAGTGATTCTGCCTTTTGCCTCAGACTCTAACATGGCTCTGCCTGGCACTATTATGTTCCTGTCTTCATTTTAAAACGTTGGTATTTTGCTGGTATGTCTTTCCACAGCATGTCCCTCTCCTTCCTTGGAGAGTGAATAAAAACTTTACTTTCTATACCTTCTTCTCTTTGTGAACTCTTTCACAGCCCACGTCATCGACCACCCTAACATTTTGGTGGCCTGTACGGGGACATTCTCTATGTCTCCCTCTCCCCTGGCCTCCTGAGACTTGTAACTAAGGGAGCAGTGGCCAGCGGAAGCTCGACCCAGGCTAAGCGCCTAACCCTGTCTCTGTGAGGTTTGAAGAGAAGACTGCAATCCTCCTCCACCTCTCTGGGCTGTAGGGACAGCCTCCTCCTCACCCGCCTGCCCGGCCAGCAATCGATATAAGAAAACTTGGTTTTTTTCCCCTAGAACAATTTGTAAGTTATACCCTCCTAAGCTACATTGAAAAACTTATATTTTTCTCCCTACCTAATCCCTCCAGAATTCGGCAGCTCTTGATGAAGTCATGTCAGGACTCTGGATGTCACCAGAAAGCCTTAAGGAATTCAGATTGACTTTCGAAGCCAATAAGAGCCCCTTGGAGAAATGGCCTGGTACCTTGTTTTGTCGTGCGGTTCAGGGCAGTCTTTACAGGACTGGAAATTACTGGAAAGCAAGAACAGAACTAACCACTCCCTACAGCCACGGGCAGAAGATAACACTGGAACAAACTGCAGCCTGCGTTACAACGTCCCAATGGCCCGGGGTCCTCACAACAGCACCCTCACCCTTTCTTAATCCAATTATAATTTAATAAAAGCTTAAAGCCCCCTCCCCTCATAAAAAGACAAAAAAAAAAAATTTTGGCATTTTTACAAACTCATTGATACAGGCAACAAATTGACAGTTACCGGAAAGGAAAGGGGATGGGAGGAGGGTGAAATGAGTAAAGGGGGTCCAGCGTATGTTGACACGTGGAAACTAGATTTTCGGTGGCATGCATGCTCTAGTGGAGGCAGCTATCAAATTTTAATGGTGTACACCTGAAACTTATGTAATATTATTTACATGTGTTACCTCAATTTTAAAATATGGTACTTTGTTCATGGACTTTTTTTTTTTACATGAATTGATTTTTCAAAAAAAATCTTGTCACCATGTGAACAGGGCACAGACACAGGTGAGCCCAGCTCTCACTCAGTCACTCACTCATCGGACAAGCACTTGCTGCTCCAGGCCCCAGGCAGAGGACAAAGGCCTCAAAGAATAAGCCAGCTTTTGCCCTTCAGTGGCTCACAGACCCTTTTGCAAGAGAGAGATTCAGAAACAGACAAGCGATAAGTGTTACGCGGGAGAAGTTCCAGATGCCAGGGTGATTTGGAGATGGTGCTCCTAGCCCTGACTTGAGGGTCAGGAACGACCTTCTGTCTGTGGTGAAGGAAAAGAAGGAGTTAGCCTGAGGAAGACACCAGGCAGGGGGACAGCACATACCAGACCTGGAAGGATAGGAGAGCGTATACCTTGTTCTCAGGGAACTGGAGACATTCAGTTTGGATACAACTTCATGTGGGTGGGGGTGAGTGTGGGGGTCTGAGGAGGGACAAGGCCTACAAAGTCAGCATCAGTCAATTTAAGAAGGGCCTCGCACATTGGGCGAAGGAGTTTGTAGTTGATTCTGCAGAAAATGGGAAGTCTCTGAAGGATACAGAGCATGGAAAGGACAGGGCCGAACCTGGGTTTGGGGAAGGCCGCTTTGACTGCTGTGTTCAGAGTGCACTGGAAGGGCTTCACACTTGAGGCGGGGAGACAGCAGAAAGACAACTGCAATTGTCTTCATGGCCGAAGGAGGCCTGGGCCACGGCAGAGCTGATGGAGGGAAATTACTGACAGCTGTGAGAGCTATTTGGGAGCTCAAATGGACAGCACTCGGTGACGGATGGGCTACTGGTGGATAGGAAGGGAGGGGTGAAGGACTGCCAGGTCTCTGGCCCAGCTGAGTGGGGCTGGGGTGCTGCCTGACTTCCTGGAGAGGACCTGCGGAGGGCCCGCGGGGGTGGGGGGACGATAAATTCCTCCTTCAGCTCATTGGGGGTGCCTGTAAAGCACCCAGGCGGATCCAAGGTTAAGTCCTGAAGAATCCACCATTAAAAGATAAATCGGAGGAGGAGGAGACACCTACGAAGGAGACAAGGACAGAATGGTCAGAGAGGTAGGAAAAGA